GCAATTTAAACAATACAAGCTCTGAAGTGTCCTTCTCTCATGTCTGTGTTGTTAAAAAATCACATAAAATACACATAAAAACAGTTACATTTCACCAGTTTTATTTTGTTATCATGATGGCAGCTCGTTTAAGTGTTTGTGACGCAGGTTTTAACACTGGTGTTATGTGTTCCTGTTCTTTTGGGGCCTGTTGCTTCTTGCTGCTGTACATTGAACTTTTTAAAGGTGGATTTAGGGCTCGCTGCCAGCAGGGGGCGCTTCAGGGGTCAAGCCTTGAGGCGACAAATGCGTGGATTAGTTTTTCTGCATCACTTTTAGGAAGTTCCTGAGTTTGGCTCATGTTGCGCAGGTGGAAATACTGTTGAGTTGTTTATATGTGACTTGAAGGAGAGTTCTTGGTCAATTATCACGGTGTTGCTAGCAGCTACGCTAACATTGCCGAGCGTGATTATCTGAACTTATCTGATCAACTACTTATATTATATGTGTTTTGTGCTCCTACTACTGTCCTGTCTGTGTGCTGCAACATTGAAATTTCCCCACTGTGGGATGCATAAAGTTTCTCTTATCTTCTTCTCACCGATCAGCGGGAGTCGTGCAGACGTTTGGGCCGAGTATGATTACTTTTGGTTTTTCTGAGTTCAGAAGCGGATAATTTAGGGTCATCCATGTTTCTAACTGATCTGGTTTGGTTTTGCAGACGGTAAAGCTGTTTTTCTGCAGCAGTTATTTTAATATCCTGCTTTTTAAAGACCTTTAACGGCAGCATGTAGAGTGTGAAGAGAATCGGGCCGAGTACCGATCCTTGTGGCACACCACATTTTACTATAGAAAAGGGCAAGGAGTTTTTGATGATAAACAATTATAACAAGTATGTCAAATCCTGATCCGGTCAGAAATGTCTCATAGATGCTCTAAGCAGGGCACTACCTGGTCAGTACTGTGATGGGAGACCTCTGTACTATTGTTTATACCCAGTAATACTGCAGTCATGGGGTTGCTCTCCCGGATCGCACTAAAACTTTTATCACAGAGACACAACATACTTATATTAAGCAGTGATTGAGGCTGTGCAGATTGCTTTAGTGTTTGAACGTGAATGTTGAAGGGGCCAATGGTGCATAACGAGAGCCTCCCTCCCATCAGTCTGTCCCAGGGCAGCTGTGGCAGTAGTAGTTCAGTAGTAGACCCAGTGAAACATGTGATACACTCGGTCTGGTGCAGCAGACTCCTGTTTACTTCTCATTCTGCACAAACGGCTCATAAACCCGTAAACCTGTAACCGTGGGAATTGTGGGAGGTTTCCAGCTTTTAAAGACACAGCAGCACACAGTGTACCCCCCCGGGATACCCCCCCTTCAGCTCAGGATGCCCCTCCTCTCTCACCGCCTTTGTTCTGAATCTGCTGGATTTGCATTTGCTTTTTTCTCAACATCACGAGCTCATCTCTCCACAGAGGATTTCCACAGACTTTTATCGCCTCCTGTCTTTAATTCGAGAGGGAGGTTCAATTCCAGCTGACAGACTCGGGTTTTCACGCTGGAGAATTTACAAATAGGAGGTCAGATCAGAGATGAGGGATGGGAGATGGCCTTGTAACCGCGGCAACGTTAAAACAGACGGAGTGTGGGTTCATGTAGAGTCACACAACAGGAGGTTTTCAGTTCTGTGGAGAAACACAGGTCGGAGCCGAGAACCCAGAGACTCCAGGCCCTTCTCTGTCAAAAACCCCTGTTACACACTTTTGTTGTTAGTGGTTAGTGGTGTGTGTGTGTGTGTGTGTGTGTGTGTGTCCTCTCATCTGTGAGTGTGTGTGTCCTCTCGTCTGTGTGTGTGTGTGTGTCCTCTCGTCTGTGTGTGTGTGTGTCCTCTCGTCTCTGTGTGTGTGTGTGTCCTCTCATCTGTGATTGTGTGTGTGTCCTCTCGTCTGTGTGTGTGTGTGTCCTCTCGTCTGTGTGTGTGTGTGTGTCCTCTCGTCTGTGAGTGTGTGTGCGTCCTGTTATCTATGTGTGTGTGTGTGTGTGTCCTCTTATCTACGTGAGTGTGTGTGTGTCCTCTCATCTGTGAGTGTGTGTGTCCTCTTATCTATGTGTGTGTGTGTGTGTCCTCTCGTCTGTGAGTGTGTGTGCGTCCTCTTATCTATGTGTGTGTGTTTGTCCTCTCATTCGTGAGTGTGTGTGTCCTCTCATCTGTGAGTGTGTGTGTGTCCTCTCGTCTGTGTGTGTGTGTGTGTCCTCTCGTCTGTGTGTGTGTGTGTCCTCTTGTCTATGTGTGTGTGTGTGTCCTCTCATCTGTGAGTGTGTGTGCGTCCTTTTATCTATGTGTGTGTGTGTGTGTGTCCTCTTATCTACGTGTGTGTGTGTGTCCTCTCGTCTGTGTGTGTGTGTGTGTCCTCTCGTCTGTGTGTGTGTGTGTGTGTCCTCTCGTCTGTGAGTGTGTGTGCGTCCTGTTATCTATGTGTGTGTGTGTGTGTGTCCTCTTATCTACGTGAGTGTGTGTGTGTCCTCTCATCTGTGAGTGTGTGTGTCCTCTTATCTATGTGTGTGTGTGTGTGTCCTCTCGTCTGTGAGTGTGTGTGCGTCCTCTTATCTATGTGTGTGTGTTTGTCCTCTCATTCGTGAGTGTGTGTGTCCTCTCATCTGTGAGTGTGTGTGTGTCCTCTCGTCTGTGTGTGTTGTGTGTGTGTCCTCTCGTCTGTGTGTGTGTGTGTCCTCTTGTCTATGTGTGTGTGTGTGTCCTCTCATCTGTGAGTGTGTGTGCGTCCTTTTATCTATGTGTGTGTGTGTGTGTGTCCTCTTATCTACGTGTGTGTGTGTGTCCTCTCGTCTGTGTGTGTGTGTGTGTGTCCTCTCGTCTGTGAGTGTGTGTGCGTCCTGTTATCTATGTGTGTGTGTGTGTGTGTCCTCTTATCTACGTGAGTGTGTGTGTGTCCTCTCATCTGTGAGTGTGTGTGTCCTCTTATCTATGTGTGTGTGTGTGTGTCCTCTCGTCTGTGAGTGTGTGTGCGTCCTCTTATCTATGTGTGTGTGTTTGTCCTCTCATTCGTGAGTGTGTGTGTCCTCTCATCTGTGAGTGTGTGTGTCCTCTCATCTGTGAGTGTGTGTGTCCTCTCGTCTATGTGTGTGTGTGTGTCCTCTTGTCTGTGTGTGTGTGTGTGTCCTCTTGTCTGTGTGTGTGTGTGTCCTCTCGTCTGTGAGTGTGTGTGCGTCCTGTTATCTATGTGTGAGTGTGTCCTCTTATCTACGTGAGTGTGTGTGTGTCCTCTCATCTGTGAGTGCGTGTGTCCTCTTATCTATGTGTGTGTGTGTGTCCTCTCATCTGTGAGTGTGTGTGCGTCCTCTTATCTATGTGTGTGTGTTTGTCCTCTCATTCGTGAGTGTGTGTGCGTCCTCTTGTTAATGTGTGTGTGTGTGTCCTCTCGTCTATGTGTGTGTGTGTGTGTCCTCTCGTAGATGTGTGTGTGTGTGTGTCCTCTCGTCTATGTGTGTGTGTGCTCTCGTCTATGTGTGTATGTGTCCTCTTGTCAGGACCTTTTTTCTGAGAATCAAGAATGCTAACCATGTGTGTGTCCTCTCGTTGTGTGTGTGTGTGTGTGATTTTTGATTGTACTTTTTTAATGTTATATTCTGAGTAGATGTGATTGTGTTGTTCTCGTGTCCCCGGCGTCTGCAGATGGACACTTGCCGAAGCTTTCACCTGCTGTTGAACACATCCGTCTTTGATCTGAAAGTTGCCGTCCCTCTCAAATAAAACTTAGACTAAACTAATGTCACATTCTTTCCACGAGAAGAACTCCACCTCAGATCAACACACACGTCTCCAGCCGTCAGAAAACAATAACAGGTTGTTCTGCCCTAAAGGGGGTGATCTCTGCAACACTCAGTTCTAGGGATTGACTGTAAATTATGTATAAGGCTTTTTGTTGAGACCTGAGGCTGACACCAGACTTACCTTATCCCTCGTTATGACTCGTTTTGGTCATGGTGTGGTCTGCTTTCTGTTCTTATCTGCACTCTACAAGTAGTTTTGTCTAACTCTCTGTCCTCGCAGTCCTCTGTCCGCTGGACGTGCAGACTGGTGCAACTCGCTCTCTGCTCCAAACTGAGGATAATGAATATTTTAACAGGTTTGGGTCGTTGTGCAAAGGTCTGGAGCTCATTCTAAACACGTCTGATACAGCAGTAATGATGTCATTATCAAGAACATCTCTCTCTGTGTGTGTGTGTGTGTGTGTACTTGCTTTTACAGCCTGGTGGGGTTCCTTCGCTCTACATCCTGCTCTACTATAAAGAAGGCAGAGGTTGGAGGCAGACTACACAGAAACCCACCGCAGCCCAAGCCCCTCGCTGAAGCTGTGCCATAGTCCAGAGAATAACCAGGACCCGAATGTCACTGGTGTCTCAGTAACTGTAATGTTATACCTCATGTAAAACCACAAACGATTCACAAAAATCCACCAAACTGTAAATCACACTAAAATAATGTGGGTAAAAAAATCAAAGCCCAGAGGAGGTTTGGGGAGCACCCTAATCCATAGTGGATCACCTGAGTCGGTCACATGGGTCGGTCACATGGGTCGGTCACCTGAGTCGGTCACATGGGTCGGTCACATGGGTCGGTCACATGAGTCGGTCACATGGGTCGGTCACATGAGTCGGTCACATGGGTCGGTCACATGGGTCGGTCACATGGGTCGGTCACATGGGTCGGTCACATGGGTCGGTCACATGGGTCGGTCACATGGGTCGGTCACATGGGTCGGTCACATGAGCCGGTCACATGGGTCGGTCACATGGGTCGGTCACATGGGTCGGTCACATGGGTCGGTCAAATGGGTCGGTCACATGAGTCGGTCACTTGAGTCGGTCACATGGGTCGGTCACATGGGTCGGTCACATGGGTCGGTCACATGAGTCGGTCACATGGGTCGGTCACATGGGTCGGTCACATGAGTTGGTCACATGGGTCGGTCACATGGGTCGGTCACATGAGTCGGTCACATGGGTCGGTCACATGAGCCGGTCACATGGGTCGGTCACATGGGTCGGTCACATGGGTCGGTCACATGGGTCGGTCACATGGGTCGGTCACATGGGTCGGTCACATGGCACATGAGCCGGTCACATGGGTCGGTCACATGGGTCGGTCACATGGGTCGGTCACATGGGTCGGTCACATGGGTCGGCCACATGAGTCGGTCACATGGGTCGGCCACATGGGTCGGTCACATGGGTCGGTCACCTGAGTCGGTCACATGGGTCGGTCACATGGGTCGGTCACATGAGTCGGTCACATGGGTCGGTCACATGAGTCGGTCCCATGGGTCGGCCACATGGGTCGGTCACATGGGTCGGTCACCTGAGTCGGTCACATGGGTCGGTCACATGGGTCGGTCACATGAGTCGGTCACATGGGTCGGTCACATGAGTCGGTCACATGAGTCGGTCACATGGGTCGGTCACATGGGTCGGTCACCTGAGTCGGTCACATGGGTCGGTCACATGGGTCGGTCACATGAGTCGGTCACATGGGTCGGTCACATGGGTCGGTCACCTGAGTCGGTCACATGAGTCGGTCACATGGGTCGGTCACATGAGTCGGTCACATGGGTCGGTCACATGAGTCGGTCCCATGGGTCGGTCACATGAGTCGGTCACCTGAGTCGGTCACATGAGTCGGTCACATGGGTCGGTCACATGAGTCGGTCACCTGAGTCGGTCACATGAGTCGGTCACATGGGTCGGTCACATGAGTCGGTCACCTGAGTCGGTCACATGAGTCGGTCACATGGGTCGGTCACATGAGTCGGTCACATGGGTCGGTCACATGAGTCGGTCCCATGGGTCGGTCACATGGGTCACATGGGTCGGTCACATGGGTCGGTCACCTGAGTCGGTCACATGGGTCGGTCACATGGGTCGGTCACATGAGTCGGTCACCTGAGTCGGTCACATGAGTCGGTCACATGGGTCGGTCACATGAGTCGGTCACATGGGTCGGTCACATGAGTCGGTCCCATGGGTCGGTCACATGGGTCGGTCACATGGGTCGGTCACATGGGTCGGTCACCTGAGTCGGTCACATGGGTCGGTCACATGGGTCGGTCACATGAGTCGGTCACATGGGTCGGTCACATGAGTCGGTCACATGAGTCGGTCACCTGAGTCGGTCACATGAGTCGGTCACATGGGTCGGTCACATGAGTCGGTCACATGAGTCGGTCACATGAGTCGGTCACCTGAGTCGGTCACATGGGTCGGTCACATGGGTCGGTCACATGAGTCGGTCACATGGGTCGGTCACATGGGTCGGTCACCTGAGTCGGTCACATGGGTCGGTCACTTGGGTCGGTCACATGGGTCGGTCACATGAGTCGGTCACATGAGTCGGTCACATGGGTCGGTCACATGGGTCGGTCACATGAGTCGGTCACATGAGTCGGTCACATGGGTCGGTCACATGTGTCGGTCACATGAGTCGGTCACCTGAGTCGGTCACATGGGTCGGTCACATGGGTCGGTCACATGAGTCGGTCACATGGGTCGGTCACATGGGTCGGTCAAATGAGTCGGTCACCTGAGACGCAGCACAGACAGAAAAGACGGATGAAGTGGGGGGGACAGGGTGTTATGATATATGTGTAATGGAAAACATTAACAGTGAAAATGATCTTGAAGTGTTGGTATTAAAACCAAATTATCCCCAGAAATGTTTTTTAAAGTAATCGTAGCAAACCGACCACCCACAGCCAAAGTCATTTTCCTCAGATCGTTTTCAGACATCTTCAAACATCATTTTCTTTTGGACTGAACAAGTCACGCAGAAAGAAACTTGGGGATTTCAGAAATGGCCTCCACATGACACAGATGATAATCAGTCCTGTCAGAACCACACAATCCTCCTGAAATGTACTCATCACAAAACAAAAACATACAATTTACTAGAGGCTAATCAGAGCAGACATGACCCTGATAACACGGAAGCTTCCCAAATGTGAGCACCACGTCCATTATGAGCAAAGCAGTTCACAAAATGACCTATATTCTGTCTTTCTGTGGACTTTTTGACCATTTTGACCTGGTTTTATTTTGCTTAATATTTGTTCTCTTGTAGTGTGAGTTTTCTTCCTGTCGCTTGTTGACTGTTGCCCCGCCCACATGTGAAAACCCGCACTAGAGAGAGAGAGTCATGGAGCGACATCAGTTGGAGGAACTCTGAACGTGCCTGTGACGGCCTGACAGCAAAACACAGCCTTTAACCTGCAAGTGTGTGTGTGTGTGTGTGTGTGTGTGTGTGTGTGTGTGTGTGTGTGTGTGTGTGTGTGTCATGTCTGGTCTCTAAATACAGACTCTATACTGAGCCAAATATAACAAGTGCTGGAGCTGAGGGAGAGTGGAGCCTGGACAGAGCAGTAAGAGTAAGTTCTTCTGACTTCTAAAAATGCTGTATGACTGTTTCTGTTTTTGTGGCTGCTGTGTTTGTACAGGATTAACATGATGCACAGGTGCTGAAGACAATCCACATGTATCTCTCCTCTCTCCTTTCCTCTCCTCTCCTCTTCTCTCCTCTTCTCTCCTCTCCTCTCCTCTTCTCTCCTCTCCTTTTCTCTCCCCTCTCCTCTCCTCTCCTCTCCTCTCCTCTCCTCTCATCTCTCCTCTCCTCCTTACGTGATGCACAGGTGCTGCAGACAATCCACATGTATCTGTTAAATACATACAAAGAAAGAAAGATCAGTTAAAGAATTTGGATTCACTCAGGATGGACTCGGTTTGGAATGATGAGGGCCATAGAGGACAATAGAGGACCACAGAGGACCATAGAGGACCACAGAGGACCATAGAGGACCAGAGAGGACCATAGAGTCCCACAGAGGACCACAGAGGACCACAGAGGACCAGAGAGGACCAGAGAGGACCATAGAGTACCACAGAGGACCAGAGAGGACCATAGAGTACCACAGAGGACCACAGAGGACCATAGAGGACCATAGAGGACCACAGAGGACCACAGAGGACCACAGAGGACCACAGAGGACCACATGGGACCACCTCTTCTCCCTTCCTCTCCTCTCCTCTCCCCCTCCTCTCCTCTCTCTCCTCTCCTCCTCTCCTCTCCTCTCCTCTCTCTCCTCTCTCTCCTCTCTCTCCTCTCTCTCTCCTCTCCCTCTCCTCTCCTCTCTCTCCTCTCCTCCTCTCTCTCTCCTCTCCTCTCCCCCCTCCTCTCCTCTCTCTCCTCTCCTCCTCTCCTCCTCTCCTCTCCCCCTCCTCTCCTCTCTCTCCTCTCTCCCTCTCCTCTCCTCTCCCCCCTCCTCTCCTCTCTCTCCTCTCCTCCTCTCCTCTCCTCTCCCCCTCCTCTCCTCTCTCTCCTCTCTCTCCTCTCCTCTCCTCTCTCCCTCTCCTCTCCTCTCCCCCTCCTCTCCTCTCTCTCCTCTCTCTCTCCTCTCTCCTCTCCTCTCCCCTCTCCTCTCTCCTCTCTCCTCCTCTCACCTCTCCTCTCTCTTCTCTGCTCTCCCTCTCCCCTCTCCTCCTCTCCCCTCTCCTCTACTCTCTCTCCTCTCCTCTCATCTCCCCTCTCCTCTCCTCTCTCCTCTCCTCTCCCCTCTCCTCTCCTCTCTCCTCTCCCCTCTTCTCCTCTCTCTCCTCTCTTCTCCGCTCCTCTTTCCTCTCCTCTACCCTCCTCTCTCCTCTCCTCCTCTCTCCTCTCCTCTACTCTCTCTCTCCTCTCCTCTCATCTCCCCTCTCCTCTCCTCTCTCCTCTCCTCTCCCCTCTCCTCTCCTCTCTCCTCTCCCCTCTTCTCCTCTCTCTCCTCTCTTCTCCGCTCCTCTTTCCTCTCCTCTACCCTCCTCTCTCCTCTCCTCCTCTCTCCTCTCCCCTCTCCTCTCCTCTCCTCTCCTCTCCTCTCCTCTCCTCTCCTCTCCCTCTACCCTTCTCTCTCTTCTCTTCTCGTCCTGGGCGGCACGGTGGCTGAGTGGATAGCACTCTCGCCTCTCAGCAAGAAGGTCCTGGGTTCTAATCCCAGTCGGACCAGGGCCTTTCTGAGTGGAGTTTGCATGTTCTCCCCGTGTCTGCGTAGGTTTCCTCCGGGTACTCCGGTTTCCCCTACCACTAAAAATATGTCCAATAGTTCTGGCATGTGCCTCCTGTACTGGCCCCGCTCCCATCTCTGTGTGGAGTGAGAGATAAATGCCCAAAAATAACAATTGTAAACCGCTTTGAGACTCAGATCTGCAGTGAAAAGGCGGTATATAAATAAAGATTACTTACTCCTCTCCTCTACCTCTCCTCTCTCCTATACCCTCCTCTCTCCTCTCTCTTCTCTCCTCTCCCCTCTCCTCTCTTCTCCGCTCCTCTTTCCTCTCCTCTACCCTCCTCTCTCCTCTCCTCTCCTCTCTCCTCTCCCCTTCTCTCTCCTCTCCTCTCCCTCTCCTCCACCCTCGCCTCCCCCCTCTCCCCTCCTCTCTCCTCTCCTCCTCTCTCCTCTCCTCCTCTCCTCTCCTCTCCTCTCCCTCTACCCTCCTCCTTCTTCTCCTCTCCCTCTCCTCCACCCTCTCCTCCTCCTCTCCCCTCCTCTCTCCTCTCCTCTCATCTCTCTCTCCTCTACCCTCCTCTCCTCTCCTCTCCTCTCTCCCCTCTCCCCCTCCTCTCTCCTCTCCCCCTCTTCTCTCCTCTCCGCTCCTCTCTGCTCTCCTCTCCTCTCCTCTCCTCTCCTCTCTTCTCTTCTCTCCTCTCCTCTCCCCTCTCCTCTCCTCTCCTCTCTCTCTCCCCTCCCCTCCTCTCCTCTCCTCTCCTCTCCCCCTCATCTCCCCTCTCCTCTCCTCTCCCCTCTCCTCTCCTCTCCCCTCTCCTCTCCTCTCTCCTCCTCTCCCCCCTCCTCTCCCCTCTCCTCTCCTCTCCCCTCACCTCTCCTCTCCCCTCTCCTCTCCCCTCTCCTCTCCTCTCCCCTCTCCTCTCCCCCTCCTCTCCCCTCTCCTCTCCTCTCTCCTCTCCTCTCCTCTCTCCTCCTCTCTCCTCTCCTCTCCCCTCTCCTCTCCTCTCTCCTCCTCTCTCTCTCTCCTCTACCCTCCTCCCCTCTCCCCCTCCTCTTTACTCCATGCACTCACTAACGTGCAGCTAAAGAAAGATCACTGTAAATGTATCTTGGAAATAGATTTTCCAAAAACTACTTTTGGATTTATTTACAGTTTATGAAATTCCATGAAATTCAACAGCTCTCGACGTTGATCTGAGGTTTCTCTCTTTTCTCTCACTGTGGTTTAGAGTTTTTCCTCTGATGCAGGAGTCTGTTGGACAGTTAGTGTCTAAGAAGGACTGTGGTGATCCAGACACTTTAATATTCTACAACATTAATAACATTTATCAACATGTGTTCTATATTTGTTTTGTGTCTTAAGTGTTGATTCTCTGATCTGTGTTGGTGATTTCAAACACACGCACACAGACCCACACACAGATACACACACACAAAGAGCCAGACAGGCACACACACAATGCCTGTTGCCGTGGTAACAATGGCCTCTACACCTGTACTGAATTCCTCTGCTTTGTGCTCAGAGCAGATGATTCTTCAGAT